ACTGTCCCTGCGGTAAGTGCTTTGGTGATTGAGCCAGCGCTCCCATACATGGCATTTCCCAGCTAAGGCATCAGAAATGTCATCAGTGAGTTTGGAAATGGCCCATTTCTAGCAGATATTGTGGACAGCTATTCAATTGACATGACAGTCCTGCTGGTCTTGGATTTGAGCTCATTATCAGCCTACCTAACTCAATGGTGTGTTACTTCTATCCTTCCGGGTGGGCACTGCACATCACCTTGACTGCTTAGAAAAACCAGTGCAGTGCAGCAATGCTAATCAGCAAACAAAGATAGGTCTCACAAGGTGGGCTGCCATCTATCTGCCATCTATTCTTCTTTTTCCAAAGCTTTGCTGTAATAAGAAAGAGAATATTTTTTTAGTTTTTAGTGACTCCTGGTAATAATATAAGTAGGTCAAATACTCTGGTGGTGGAAGCTGTTCCATGGAGAACTCTTGACTACATAGTATTTTGATGTTTAAAATTCCAAATACTAATTAACTAATTTTAACTAATTTTATTTTATTTCTATTTTCTCATTTGGATGCTCTAAAATTTGTCAGAAGACAGTTTTTATTTTTGTCCTTGGTGTCTTGAGAAACAGAAAATACAGACATGTTTTTAAGAGAAACAGAAACTTCATGCCAGATGTCATTCCAATGTTTTTACTTTTCTGTTGGCGGAAAGTGGTTATGAAGTTAATAAAATGACATCATTCTTTCTCCTATGAATATTAGAGTGCAAACTCACATTAAAAAAAAAAAAAAAGAAGTGGAAAAACTGCAATACAACTGAGCATTTTATATTGTAGTTAATGTTTCAGTAGCAAGATCTAATAGCTAGGTTGTCAGTAACCATTCCATCCTGTGCTGTGGTTCTCTGCCATTTTTTACAAATGCAGGGTATGCATAACTCATTACTTCATCAAGGGTGACATTATTATTTATTTGCGCTTAATGTGGTAGGCATTGCTTACATATGCATGCCTGCACAGAACCCTCTGCCAATAAATTGAGAAACTCCAAGACACCAGCTTGCAAATTTTCTATGCCTAGAACTCACTAAAGTTTTCATACTTCTGTTCAGGGTACAGTAGTTACTGGATGACTTTTATTGACTCTAAACTGGATAAACCGAAAGCTTAAGCATTGGCTTCAGGCTGCTGAAGCAACCAGTTTGATACAAAAAAGTGAGGAAATAGAAAAGCTTTTGGAGTACTTCCTCTTGCTCTGCAAGAATAATTCATAGTTCAGCTATAGAGAGACCTTTATTTCTACATAGATAAGATCAGTGACATTCCTTGTTGTTATTATTTATATTGCTTTAGTCAACATGTAATTTATAATTACATAGCTCAGCGCAATAAATAGTCTTCTTGGTGACCTACAATGTTGATCAGTTAATCTCTTTAGAAGAGATATTGCAACAGTATTTGGAAAGAAGACCCATGGTGTTAGCTGCCTGTATTTAGAGATTTTACATGTAAAAAAATAAATCTTGAAGTTAATCAGTCACAATTAGGCATAAAGCTGCATATGGAATTAGTTGTCTTGGTGGGAGTTTTGCATGATACTGTGTTGATTGCAAAGGTCATCCTCTGGAATTTGGTACCTTTTGGATGAGATTGCAGTTTGGAAACTAGAGGATAAAATGTGATTCGTTGACAAAGTGAAAACAGTCAATTACTTAAGGGTCCAATTACTCAATTACTTAAGGGTCCAAATTATTTACTATAAGGTCTTATTTAGCCATTTGTTTGCTAGACTTGCTGCATTTAAAGTGGAGTCATGTCCAGAACATGTAAACCATTTGGATTCAGCCTTTATACAAGTGATATTTTTGACACTGCAAGTATTTATTCTATATAAAATTTATGTTGCATTTTATGGCCTTGCTTATAAACTGGTGTATACAAGCCATGAAATAGTTTTGCTTTTTGACACCAGCTTCACATGGTCTCATATTGTTTCTTTAGCTTGCTCAATGCCTCTTACATTCATGATACCTTGTTTCTAACCAGAATTCAGTCGTATTTATGCGTTTTCTATACATTTCTATAAAACAAAGCCCTAAACTGCTGGGAACACCTCAGTGCTACAGCAGTGCAGAAAAAACAGTGGATCAATATGAGGAAGTGATGAGCTCTTTTGAGTGTTTGATTTTGTGCACCACCTGTGACAGTCCATAGAGGAGGAGCTTATTGGTTACAATTCAGATTCCATGTGCTAAGAGAGCTTGCTTAGGAACCATTTCCCAGGTTTGGCATGCCAGAATTAAATCACTCCAACTAGTTTTGCTCAGAAAAGAGATATGTGTGTGTATACGCATATTTACACATATAAATTCTTTTATATGTATATAAATTCTATCTATATCTATAGATACAATTCTTCTAGTCAAAATAATTTTCTTTGAGTAGAATGCTCTTTTCAGACCACTTTGAAGGCAAAATACAGGTTGGAATTGTTTTAACATTATTAAATGCTCTTAGAACAGAAGCTGTTTTTACAGACAGTTTATTAATCTGTTGAAAGAAAACTATTTTAAGTTTTTCTTACTCTGGCTGACAAGAGGTTAAAATATTTTAAGTGTGGTTATGATATCACATGGGAGTTAAGAATTTATCTTTCTGTATTCTTGTCAAAGAAATGTGTTTTCATATGGTCTTGAAGTTACAAAGTACTGCCATTGTGCCTCTTATTTAAAAAGCAGAGATCTCCCTCCCTCATCCTGTGAAAGATGTAATATTTTGTATCCAGACACAGGTCACCCTGTGCCTCTAAAATGAGCACTTAATGAAGAAATGTCTTTCTTAAGTGAACAAATGTCTACATCAATAAAATTTTAAAAGCTTTGTGGGAAGAAGTGGCTAAATACATTAAGTCAATTGAAACTGTTAAATTAATGTTCTGTGTACAAAACCAAAATGCTGCATGTAAAATGAAAGAATTCCAATCTATAAATGATTGTAAGGGGAGCCAGCTTTTCAGGGGGGAAAGCAGAAAACTACTGTTACCCCCTCTGCACACCCACACATATTTATTTTGTTAGAAGTTTAAACAATAAATACCTTTGTAACATAAACTG